TATGAAATGTGTTCTGGACACAACATGGCTGCTGCACACATGCACTCCCACCAACTGCGGTTCCTTGTAGAAGATCAAGACAGATAAAAATTCTAGCATGAATGGGGGTGGCTACTGAGGCCCCTCCCCCATGTGAAAACTATGGGCAATTGATGGCTACCTGAAGAGGGAAAGTTACTTTTCTTCTGGGTTCTGAACACTGGGAGCTTTCTCATGACTCAGTGGATGCCCCCACAACTGTGCACACATGAGCAGCACTAGTTGAATTCAGGGGGCTACAAAACAGAGACATATGTTTAGGGGGTGTTCAGAGAGAACTGGGGGTATATGATCAACATATATTGGACACGTATTTGGAATTATCTAAGAATAAATAAAAATACTTTAAGATAATTTTAGATAGTATGAGTGTTATAAAAAAGTAAACAAGATAGTGAGATAAAAATGTACATAGACTAATTTTGATGAAATGTTTATGAATAATCGAGCCTTGATGGCTAGTAGACAGCCAGGTCATATGTGGGTAACAGATCTCCAGGTAGGGGACTTGGGCCTGGATATGGGATATTTATTTATTTTTTTTAGAACAGAAAATGTTCTGGAGTAAAGGGATTCAGGATGAGCTGATAAGAAACAAGAACGATATATTTTGTCCAACATGCAGCGAGAGTTTGATAAATTTTATGTTAATGGGGAGGGTAATATAGTCTGCCTTTTAGAACTCACACCAGCAGCCTTGTGTAGACTAAAGAGGGCACAGAAGAGACCTACAGAGGTCAGGGAAGTGATTTGGCCACAGCCAGTAGAAACTGAGTAAGAATGGACTCCAAATGGATGGGCACTCGGATACAACTCATGTGTTCTTATTCATCTTATTTCATTGAGTTTGCAACACCGTGGTAACATATCATGCACACAGGCGTGTTCTCTGCTAAACTGTGGTCACTGTTCTTGCAGCCTTCTGTAATGAATTCCTTACCGTTCTGACAAAACTCAACCAGCTATGTCGCCTTTCCTCTTTCTTGAGAGGACGAGGCAGTCCTGAAGCAGTCAGTTCATTCAAACAACTTCTGTTAGAGCTCCCCATCCTTCCAGGGGAAATCCAAATCCAGTCTCGTATCTTTTTATAGACACAGCCTGTCAGAGGTTTAGCTTTGCATAATTTGCTATAATGAGTTGTAAGTGTCTCCCTTTTCCTCTGAGTTCATGAAATTAGGATAATAGAAGTTAAGAGTCTCCCCCTGAAAGAGCTGTGTTCTGGGGTTAATCAGCGTGTTCCTAATTGAAATTATGAGCGGAGTGAGGAGAAACACATGCTGGTTTTGGAAGCCCTCCCTTGCAAATTTACTGCATCTGAACGTCCCCTTCTCCTGGAGAAACCATCTTAATTTAATTGCAGGGTGAATCAATCATCATGTTGTTCTTTACAGTGAAATTTAGATGAAGACAATTACCTAACCTTTTCCTACTTTGCTCTTTTGTTACCCAAACCCTTCAACTGTTTGGTCAATCATCCTCAGAATGTGCTTTGGCGCAGCAAGGGTAGACTTCTTAAATTATAGTGGGAAGGAACCGAGTTGAACCAGACGAATATCTATGCAGATAATTTCTATTTTCACCAACTTGAATGGAGATGACTTTATCCATAAGGCACAGGAGAAAACTAGGGTTGAGCAGTTGTATGGATAATTGAGCAATAGATAGCTGACGTTCAAAGCGGTAAATCCTGGGCTCACAGATCTTTATAGGTCTAAAAAATCCTGTTTTAAGGAATATTCTGTTTGTAAATATTCAGAGTATTGAAAATGGATCTTCACAGGTAATCAATGTGTTTGAACACTTTTGAGTATAATATCTAATGTAAAGATTCCTGCGGTGGTTTAAGTGAGATGTCACCTATGTGTCTCAGGCATTTAGATACTTGGTCCCCAGGTGGCAGTTACTTGGGAAGAATTAGGAGTTGTGGCCTTGCTGGAGGAAGTATGCCACTGAGGGTGACCTTTGAGGTTTCAAAAAACTTATCCCCTTCACAGTGTACTCTCTGGGTCCCCTTTGTGTTGTTGAGGTGTGAGTTCTTGGCTGTCCTTGCTGGGAGGTCTCTGCTCTACCCTCAGGGACTCTAAACCTCTGGAAACAAAACACTTTCTAAGTTGCCTTGATTGTGGTGTTTCACCAGAGCACTGGAAAGGAACCAATACAACTCAAGGAGTGGAAAGATGGCAGAAAATAGCTGATGATTTTTAAATCCAGGTAAGTTAACTCTAATCAAAACCCATGTAAACTCTTGACCTTGGTGTTCTAATAAGTCCCAGGCACAGTGAAGACTGATCCAAACAGCAGTAACAGTGAACCGGTGTGGTGGGAGAAGCTTCCTATAGGTCCCTGTCGGAATTCTTCCCCAGAATAATTTATGATTATAATAATATTATAGTCAGAATGATTTATAAAATCTTGGGAACATTTTTCTTTGATTCCAGACTTTAATACCAAAATAAATATCTGACTATTAAAGATGGCTAACCACTACTTGAATTTTCTGTATTGCTTTCTGTTAATTAAAGAGATTAAAACACAAAGGAGTTGCTTATCAGGCTGTATCTGCAACAGCAAAGGACTCTCCTAACTTGTTTATCATAGACTTTCTTGATACGGTTTTACTTTTTGAGCCTTAGATCCAATTGCTGGTTTAATACGTGTATTGGGAGTGCTATGAATGCTGCTGAGATGCCCCTGCCCATCCTCTTCCCCATTGCTATCCCCATGTTCTTGCAAGGCCTCCCCATTTTCACACCATTTGTGTAACTTGTCAGTTTCAAAAGCAATAGTCACAATAAACCCAGCACAACTGGGTTTTCTGACAGCACAACTCTGATGCACATCCCTACACACCATTGACTGCAAGACAATCATCCCAGCTGCCAACTTGGTTTTCATGGGTTTGGAGGGCACTGGCATTCATGGAACACTGTGAACCAAGAAGAAAGCTGTTGCTAAGTGCCTCAAATTACTATTTTCGTATGTCTTGACTGCTATAACAAGGAGGAAAATCTTCACAATTTGGAAGGCTTTCTGAAAATTAGCCCCTATGCACCAAACCTTTGATCTTTTGATCAAACTGTCATTCTCTTGAAAAATTCAGTTCTCTTGTGAATTTTCCAGCCTGCTCCCCAAACAATTGGTTACATAAGTTCTGAAAGCCAGACCCACAGAACTGTCCTGTGTTTTGGAAAGTTCCCTAAATAGACTTAGGTTACGATAGCACCAGCACGCAGTCTGAGGAGTAGAGCCCCGTGTTCCCAATCACCCAGCTCCATTTCTCTTTCCCTTGGCATCTCTTTCTCCTCCCCATTCCCCTTCTTTCAATGTTTCCTCCGCACTCACGGTTCCCACCATCACTGCTGGGGCCTTGCCCAGCCTCTGGCTACACCAGCCTTGCTTAGGCAAGACTACTGCACCTCATCCAAAGACAAAAGAAGCTTCCACAATTAATATAAACCCAGGGGAGACATTAGGTGTTACAGCAGAGTAAAGTTCTGGGTGTTGGTGTCCTCCAAGGACAGCGTTCTCATAATCTTACAAAACTTGTGCTGTAGGGTGTTTGGGAAGAATGCATTTTTTTAACTGTTGTTTCAGATTAAAACTACATAGCACTTCAAGTCAGATAATTAAAAACCAAATCAGTTTATACTTACCTCTTGCTATTTCTCAATTTTCTGGAATATTGACCAAAATGTAACTTTTTGATAGTAGGGTTTACTTCCTAAATAAATCAAATTATTTGTCATTTTGAAGTGAGTATGAGCAATGCCAGGAACAATGTTATAGGCCTGACATTTGATAATATAAATTAGCACAGCACCGTTTATCTGAGGTGTTCTAGCACTTTCCTTCTCTTGTCTGTGATAGTCTGTGACATTTCATAATTAGAGTCTCTCATGGAGCATAAAGTAGAAGTAATTAAGGTTGGTAAATAACTTATCTCTAATAAATTTATATAGACTGGTTAAAAGGCATCTGATTCTTCAATAACAAAAACCATTTGCCAATGGCAATAAAGTTTACAGAGTAACCAAATATTTTTTAAGTCAGGATTCACAACGATTAAAACATACCAGAATCCTCTCCCACAGGATCTCACCATGACCAGAGTCCAGAGATCTCTGCGAGCCATCCTACTGTCTGCAAGACATCCTACCGTCTCTCATCTCTCATTGTGCTCTTGTCTCTTACTACACCTGTGAGAATGTCTGTGAACTGTCTTAACACCTCCAACAAGCTGGATCTTCAAACAATTATACTTCCTTTTGAACATACAAAACATTTCCAAAGATTACCAAACACGGTTTAAAAAAAATGATTTCTAGACTTCCATGTGTATTTATTTTCCTAAAAAGCAATTACCCAGGTTTGTGCCTTCCACGGTCTCCACAGCCCTCCCTCTTTTCATTCTTCTTTTCACACACATAGTCTGTCTTCACAGAATGTCCATCATGACTCCCTCTCTGTGGGGTCAGTTCACTGTCCTGGGATGCTACACTTTCCGGCAACGCAAAGAAAGGAAGAATTTAAAGTATCTGTGTCATCTCATTTCATCCAGCCACACAAATCCTTACATATGCTACAGTGTGGACTTAAATGTAATCAATTAAGAATACATACCCCAGAGAAACATGAATCAGAAAGAAGAAATAAAATACGAAAAGCAGCCAAGCAAGTTATCCAGTGTCGCAAGTGCTACTGAGTGGGCCCTCTGGCCTTACTTGGAGGTCTGCAAGTAAATGACACTCAGGATTGCAGTTCACTGCTTTGTCCGAACTAAGTTTATTGTGTAGGCACTTCAAGATCTTACAATTGTTCTGTCACAGCTAATAAGCAGGTATCACCATCACAAGCAAGGATATAATATCACACAAGCAACATCACACAAGCACATATATATTTCTAAACCCTAGGTAGGGCATTTACTATATTCTATCTAATAAGGCCTTGGGGTGTACAACCTGATGATGGTTCGTGGTTCTCGACGTAGACCTCTGGATCAGCAAGTCTTGATCCGCAGGCAAGAGCTTGTTCTCTGGCTCTTGGAAGATCTCTGGTCCAATGTCTCGTTGATTGATTGATTAATTGATTGATTGATTGATTGATTGATTGATTCTCGATGCTGTAGAGTTTCTCTGGCGCCTCTCCGACAGAGTCTCTAGCAGATCATCTTGAGAATGTCTTGTGGTCTTTTTGACTCACTTTTTATACTATTCTTCAGCCTCACTTCACTTTTTCCTACGTCACACTCCAGATTAACACTCCTGTCTGCCTGTACGTCACTCTTATCATTGCTGCACACATTTCTGCTAGTGCCGTTTCTCCTGGACTTGCCCCAGACTTGTCCTAACAGACTCATCTAGGTTTTGTCCTTACAGACTCATAGCATCCAGTTATAACAGTACAAAGACCCAAGACCTTATGAGACACCTGTGCCTCACCCTTGTGTGTGTGTGTGTGTGTGTGTGTGTGTGTGTGTGTGTGTGTGTGTGTGATAGAGTACTTACCCACTGCACTGCTGCAGTAAAAGGTTTTCCAAAGCATAGGATGCCCCAATCTGCTTGATTTGCTCAAAAAGAGCTAATTCTTTATTAATAACATTCTAATTGGTAGTACCTTAAATGATCTAAGGAGAACAGTTGACAACCCCCTTCTATTTGTTTATTCCAGAGAACTCAATGAATGGTCCTCACATTTGTTGAGAAGAGCATTGAATGGCTAAACAGAGTTAATGATGGGCAAGGGTAAAATCAACCTTCCTTGGGCTTACCCAACTGATAGGATTTCTTTCCACGGAGATTGTATTATCACTAAATAAGTATGGTGTGATAATTAATATAATATGATTTTAATTTTAGTTTGTCCGACTGTTTCACAATTTTCAACTTTCCCCCTTTCCCTTCACTGTCCCATGTCCTCATTCCTGTTCCTTTCTTGGTGGTGGTTTAGGCTCAGAAACTATGACACAGAAAGCTCTTCATCTGTGCAACTAAGAGAAAGTCAAAAACAGAACCTGGGATAGGGAGAAGAAATAAAACCCCATTCTTTATATTCTGCCTCTGAAAAAGACCTGTGTGAAATCCATAGTCTATACACATTTGGGTTAATATTCAGATATATGGGCTCCATCAGAGGCCCCCTCCTTTCTGATTCTCCCACACACACACATAACTCTTTTCCTGGAAATAGTATGTAAAGGGGAAGCAATAGCATTTGGAAAATGACATCAAGGAGAAATTGCAAGGAGAATCTGGCTTGGATTTCGTAGGGTCAGGGTCAGATGTGAGTGCAGGAAGTTATTGGTGTCCTCATTTGTAGAGAAATAACACCCAGGATGACTCCCATGACATCTATGTGTTCTTCTTAGTTTGTTACACAAAAGCACAAGACTAGCTGTCCTGTGGCCCTCGTCCTCCAAACCTGTCCATGGAGAGTGAGGAAGACAGAAGAATGAAATGTGTAAAATGTCAGTCTGAAGGAAGTTCTTCCAGTCGTCAATGTATAAACCTTTTCTTTCTCCTCCATAATCTGCTTTTCACACATTATCTGCTTGAGATATGTTCTCATCTGACCAGAACTAAATGTAGCAGGTTGAGTAATAAAAAATGTGTATTATTTTTTCCAATTGATGAAAATTACTGTAGGTTGCCACAGTCATCTGAATTTCTGTATTGTGTAGCAGAAACCAGACACAGAGTATTAAATCCAGCCAAGTGTAGCTGTGTCCAAAGCTACCATTCTAACTCATCAAAACTAAGAGTGATAAAAAATAAGTTAGAATCAGCTATGCTAAAAAAAAACTGAAGTATCTTCAGTTCTTTGTGGAAAACCTCATAAAGCATTTTTAATATGAGAAAGCCATCAAAAGATGTTATGATTTTATAGTCAACGGAATGTAGACTCATCTTGGAAATAAATCTCTGGGCAGTATGTAATGAAATTGCTAGATTAGGGATGCCCACCTTAGCTCCTAGACCAAATGAGAAGGAAAAGGCAACCTCTGCGCCAACATCCGTCACTCACTGTTGTCTAACCATAGATGTCACCAGCTGCCTCCATGCCCTGCCAACCACCACTTCTGCACCTTCATAGACGTCTCTCAAAATGTGAACAGAAAAAAATCCTGTCCCCTAAGCTGTTTTCTATCAGAATATTTTATTACAGGAAGGAGACAAGTGACTTAAGGAAAGAGCACACAATCAAAACAATTGAACAAAATTTTGTGGTATCTATGGCACACTTAAATATTGTTTTGTTTTCGCATTGATCAGATTTTTTTTTAGTTGTTATTTAATGGGTTTCTTTTCTTTTAAATGTAAATCTCTAAATTCTCAGGGTAGCGTTCTTAATTCTTGAAGTTACCCAGGCTTTAAGCCTTACTACATTCAATGATTCTCTGCTTCCTAAGCCAAGGCCTGACAGAGAGACAGCAGTGATTCATCCATCTCCTGCCTCCTCCCCCATATTGTGAGCTTTGCTTCTTCCGCAGGAGAACGAAGAATGGTTTCAGTCGTGTGCAAAAACTATGAGCGTGTATTTCTTTTTCACTGAACAGAGTTGAACAAGACTTCACTCTCGGCATTTCCAGATGCACTTAAGATGAAATAATAATGTTGAGCCAGTCTCCCTGCTTTAAATTAAGCACTTCAGGAAGAGACATTAAACCTCTCGGACCACCAGAGTGTATCGATGCTTTAGTACATAGACCATAACCCTCACTTGCTTAGTAACAGCGTAAAGAAAAGGTAAGCTCCGTAAATGAGGCTGTTTTATGACCCATTTAAATAATCTGAAAAGGAAATTAATACTTTTATTACTTTTCATAAGAGGAAAACGTCCTTAAAAATCTGCAAGAGTTCTTTATGTTATACTACATGCAGAACTGCCCCGTCTGAAAACACAGATCCAGAGGAACAGTGGACGATCAGTGCAATGAACCACGGCCACACAAGCAAACTGGGAAAAGGTAAAAAAAAAAAAAAATACGGTAGGCTGGAAACTAATCCCAGAGTCCAGAAAGATGCTTCTACTGGAGACAAGGAAATAAAGCCCAACTAAACCTTATGGCTCCATTCTTTGGAAGAATGCAAATATTTGATGGGTCTACAAAGGTGGGACGAGGGTCTGGAGGAGGTCGAACGGTATCTAACCCCTACCCCATGTCAGTCACATTGTTGAAAACCCTCTCAATCGTCTTGTAGGGCTCTGAAATTTACTCTTCAAAATCTAAGAAATACAGGCAGAATTTGTTTGCCAGAAGAGCAAACTATTTCCCACAACGTTTTCCCTTTCCTCCACAACAACCGGCTCTTTCCAGGCTGACGCCTGACCTGGAAGTTCACAAAGCACACACCAGCTTCCGCACTCTGGGCTTGCCTGTCCCTTCCCTAGGGATGCTCTTCCTCGAGGGTTCCACCAAGCCTACTTTCTCCCTCTGTTTACATCTCTGTCCAGGGTTCCAGTCTCCCAAGGCTTTCCTCCCCATTTCTGTTACCTTTATTATTGACAACTTGAAAGGAAAAATGATTTGGGGCTCTCCATTTCAGGGCCTTTATTCCTTCATGGCCTTCTCTGTCTTTCATGGGCCTATGATTCCAAGAGCACAGGCAAAGGCTGCTCACCTGATGGCAGCCAGAAAACGGAGGAAGGACAGAGAAAGGTCCTGAGACAAAGGTCCTAAGGACATGTCTCCAATGATGGACTTCTTCCAGATAGGTCTCCCTCACCTATTAAAGTTCCAGAATCTCCAAAAGAGCCAGACAGGTGAGGACCAAGAGCTTGATAAATGAGCATTTTGAGAGACAAGCTACAACATTCCCTGACCCCATGTCCTCTTCCCCTGCGTCATTCTCATAATACACAAATTCTTGTTTCTACTAAAGTATGTGTACCACAAGAGCCGGAGTATCACCGCTGTCTACTGCCATGTCCTTGGCGCCTGATGCTAGCAAGCTGGTGTCAATCATCCTCTACTAAATAATCAGTGGCACTCATGAGAACGTATTTGTCCATTGTCGGCCCTTCTTTCATTCAATCCGGAGTCACACCTCTTGAATTGGAAGACAGGTTTATCTCTTATCGTGGAATGTGATGTTCTTTGCTTTTTGTAGATTTCCTACAGTAGAGAGGGCTTATGACAAAGATAATTCTCAGGAGAAAAAGAAGGAGGAGCAGGAGGAGGAGAAGTGGAATAATTTATAAGAATTCTTTCACCACAGTATTGTTTTCAAAATAGGAAAGGCATGCATCTCAAGGCCTGTAGAACCTGCTTATTGAACCGGCTCTATTGCCATGTACTTATGAATGTACCACAGTACAAAGCAGTTGGAAGACCCCTCTTCCTACTGGTTTCCTTCTTGGCATTGGCCCTGCTGCTAACCTCAGGCTAACGATCATGACGTGTCCCAAAAGGCACCTAAACAAACAACCTGGCACCTTTTCCATCTTTCCAGTCTCCTGCCAGGACTTTCTGTGAACCCAACACAGCCAGAGTCAGATGGCAAGGGATCCTTTTTCTGTAGTCTATACACGCGTACGTTCCAGAAACATTTATAGCTCTTAATGTAATTTTATTGCTTTAAAGTTTGGTTTCTTAGCATTTCAAGAAGAATTTGTCTGGAGGATTGGTTTACATTAGTTTTGGTGACTCTTTTTTTTTCTTTTGTTAACATAGACAAAATGCAGCACTTAAGAGGAACAGTAAATGGGGGAAGAGCTTTCTTTGCTTGTTTCTAGTGGTTGCACAGAGCCTATGCATTAGCAGGATCCTGCCTGGAGTACTGGCTCCCCCATTCGATGGATGCTTCAAACTGGCATGTTTGCCCAGTGGCCATGCATATATGACCTTGTGTGAAATGAAAATGGTGTGATGATGCCAGGAACGAGTAAAGGAGCACGTACCATGACGTCTGCCATAGTCTCTCAGATCTTCAGTAAGACCCCCAAACTGACAACCTTTGAGGAAAGTGAAACCCAAGCCTACACCCTAGAAGATGGATACAAGACTAAGCGGAAAACCCTACAGGAAAGAGAGTCATTGAAAATTCAGAGACATTCCAGAGACAGATGCATGGGGGCCACATTAGAGTTTAGACCCAATTGGTTTAAATCTGCATAGGAGGGTAGGACCCTGACTGATGCCTGGAATGTGCCCATGCACCTAGAAAGACCTTAGTATTTGAAAAACTTCTATTCCATTTTTGTATAATCTTTATATTTAAGAAATTCATGTTGAAATTTAAATTCCTACCGCTGCAATTTCAGCTCAGCCTAGTAGTTGTAGTAATAACCATAATAGTTCCCAGGTATGAACAAAGGAGTC